TCCTGCTGAGCATCTGGGTCCAGTAAGAAATCAGGCACGCTGTTCACACTTTCTTCCACACTAACATTCTGAGGGCAGCTGGACCAAGCAGAAACCCCGAGAAGCCCTGTTACTCTGCCCCTTACAGCCTAGAGGCCAGCCAAGCTCAGGGAGGCAGTGACCTAGCTGCCTTGTTCCTGGGTCTCACCTGGTCCCTCCGAGGCACAGAGCCCCTCCCAAGAAGAAACTTCATCCACTCCATCTGACCATCCCAAGGGGAGATGGGGAGAGAATCCACTTTCAGAGAAAGAAGAGAGAGAACTCTGATCCCTCCGCTCCCTCGCCAGATGTTCTACATTCTACTTCCCGCTGGTAGAGGGTGAGTGAGGGACCCCATTGGGTTAGTTTTGCCCTGAATCCTGCCAGAGACCCTCCCTGACACTGAGGGCAGCAGGTAAGAGCAGAGGCTTGAAGACTGCATGGTGCCACTGCTTTACATTTAATATCCAACCCGGTCCTCACAAACAATTCTACAGAAGTATTATTGTTTCCCACTTCATAGTTGGGGAGACTGAAGTTCATAGAGGTTACATAACTTTTCAAAGGCCACACACTAGTAAGAAATGGACCCACGCAGAACGGTTTTTTTGTAAATTGAGGTTTAATTCACATACCATGAAATTCATAAAATTCAGTGGTTTTTACTATATTCACAAAGTTCCGCAACTATCACCGCAATCTAATTCCAAAACATTGTCATTACCCTAAAGAGGAACTCTCTTCCAATTAGCAGTGACTCCGCATTCCCCGCTCTGCCAGTCTGCTTTCTGTCTCTGCAGACTTGCCTATTCTGGACACTTCATACAAATGAAATCATACAATATGTGGTCCTTTGTGACTGGCTTCTTTTACTTAGCACAGTATTTTCAAGGGTCATCCCTGTTGTAGCGTGAATCAGTACCTCATTCTTTTTTTTATGGAAGGATAATATTCCATTGTATAGAGAGACCACATTTTGTTTATCCATTCATCAGTTGATGGACATTTGAG